GCGCTTCTCCGCCTCGAGCTTCTGGCGGTAGGGCCACGGGCTCGCCGCCGGCAGCGCCGCGGTGAACCAGAACGTCGAGCCCTTGCCGTGCTGGGAGCTGACCCCGATCTGGCCGCCCATGCCGTGGGCCAGGTGCTTGCAGATGGCCAGCCCGAGGCCCGTCCCGCCGAACTTGCGCGAGATGGACTTGTCCACCTGCGAGAAGCTCTTGAACAGGCGGTGGAGCTGCTTCTCGGGGATGCCGATGCCCGTGTCCGTCACGCGGAAGAACACGACCCCTTCCCCCAGCTCGCCGCACGGCTCGCCCTCGCGAGGATTCGCCACCCGCGCATCGCAGAACTCGAGCGTGATCCGATTGCCGGGCGGCGTAAACTTGATGGAGTTGGAGAGGAGGTTGAACAGCACTTGCCTGACGCGCACCGAGTCACCTGTTGTGTGGCCCAGTCCAACAAAGTCAACGACAATGAGTCAACTAACGGTCAACGGTCAACGATAGGAATGGTACATACCAACGCGGTGCGGGTCGGACAAGGCGGAGGAGACCTCGAGCACGATCTGCTTGTTCTTGGCGTGGGCGGCGAGGAGGTTCACGGTCTTGGCCATCTTGAGGGGCAGGTCGAACAGGACGTTCTCGAACTCGAGCTTGCCCGACTCGATGCGCGCAAAGTCGAGTATGTTGTCGAGCAGCGAGAGGAGGTGGTCGGCGCACTCGTTCACGATCTCGGCCGCCTCCTGCGCCCCGCGCTCCAGGCTGGGCATCTTCATCAGCTCGTCGCTCATCGCAATGATCCCGTGCATGGGCGTGCGCAGCTCTGTCATTTTTTTTAGATTAGTGTTTGAATCGTGACTGGGCATCTGAGTCTGCACTGACAGTACCGTGGCTGAGGCTGTTGAAGAGCTTGGTGCGCGCGTTGGAGCCGGCCTTGAGCTGGTCGCTCTTCTGCTGGAGCCGCCCCTTGGACTCCTCGGCGAGCTTCTGGAGCACGATGGCCGACAGCGAGATGGCCACCAGCATCACTACGCGGCCCTGAACGCCCTCGTGCGGCTCCGACGAGAGCGCGTGGAAGACCCCA